CATATACGTACATATGTAGTGTGTGTAATACCTTTATTAAGTTATAATTTTGCTGTTATATCGTACACGATTTGAGATACTGTGTTATTGAATGTCATGGTGGCCCGGAGGTTTAAGACGCTTGTTTCTCTTGCACGAGGATGCGAGTTCGACACCTACCAACGGCGGTTTCCCCTATACTTATTATACTCTTTGGGCGGTATGTGACTATTTCGAGTCATTTTCTAAGATTATGACACTGAAAAATGGTGAAGGAAAACATCATTAGGAAACCTGCGCTTATAATTTGTAATTGTAAGTTTGTAATACGCATTGAGCAAGCGTGGTTATGAATGCTCAGACCCTATCTGTTTGAGAAGAGGCTTTTGGTCAGCAGTGACCACTTATAGGCTGTTAATGTGTGACGTGTGTAATGTATATAGAGATATAGATATAGAGAGATATAGAGATATATTTGTTTATTAAAACATGAGTAATTACAATGAAGGTGTTTTTGGTTAGTACAGAGTCTATCTGTTTTGCCATAGCTCATCGTTTCCAAAATTATATTATCACGCCCAAGAATACACCTAATAGTACTTATATCACTTTCACTCTCTACTCGATCTCAATTTGTGATTATATCTATTTTGCAGACGTGTTATACAACGAGGTTAAGAAAATTTTGAGTTTGAGTGTCCAAATTCTGAGCTACAAACTATCTCTCAAACGCCACTTAGTTTTTTTATAATTTAAAAATAATTCAAAAATGTATGGGGATTCGATATTTAAAAGTTAATTGTGTGTTATGTTCGGTTGTCTCCCGGAACCGGAGTGACCTATAGAGTTATTCCGGGATTGTCTGTTTACGAGATTACTTACAAACAAACAAATATATATTTATAGACACATTCGGATTTCCGGAAAAACAGTTGATAGAGGAACACCGATACGTAAGCACGCTACGCTGATAGAGCTTCAATTGTTGTATTAAATAATTCTATCCTCCTCTCGCACATTTATGAATGTGGTCTTCAAAAATTAATCTTCTTCCATTTTCCCCTACTTTGTCTGTCAGATCATTTGTTGCACAATCCGTCTTGATTTCAGTCTTATTCTTTTCTAAAAGATATTATCACTATCATGCCTAGTTTTAAGTTTTGACGAGTTCCTATTTCTGTAACAGGAACTGTGAAGTGCTAAGTACCTATCTAAATGTATTATTTATCTCATTATAATAAAAAAATATAAGAATACGTATACCTAACAATAAAAAACGTGAATTTAAATATCACTTAAACACATTTAGTACATTAGGTATAGGTTAAAAGTTTATATAAAACATTGATAGCGTTTATTTTTTATTTCTGGGTCCAAATCGAGAATTATTGTTATCTCCCATATATCCCCCAAGCGGTCACCGGTGACCGCTCTCCACTAACTACATTATAGACCTTATTTCCAATGTTTACAGACTACTTTTGTATGAACAAATTTAGGGGATGATTTTCAACGGGTTAAGTGTTCGTTTTCTTTTTACTAGACAGTCTAGGATACATAATTATGTACTTGAAAACTTAGGAATACTTACATAAAGATTTCCTAAATAATATTATAGACATTAAGTTATTTTTTTAAGGGATAAGCCGGTAGACGATAGATTACGTGATGGTAAGCAATCGGTGTGGACATGGACACCCTGAACACCAGGGCGGTATAAGTGCGTTATCGGCCTTTTAGGGATTAGGAATTTGAGGATTGTTGGGGATTTAGGGATTGGGTGTCATTAAATATAATAAAATTGGCCAAGTAAAGAAAATTAAAAAAATGTTTGTAGTTAAGTCTTTTCGTAAGTCAGTCTAAGTTCAGATTAAGCACAATATTTTGGAAACTGATTAACATCATAGCATGTGAAGTAGTGCGGTAGACAGAGAAATGAATGAGATGGTAGGAGACGTTTGCTTAGAAAGTGATTTTCCCACAAACTTGATAAGAGGGTATCCCCGAGCTGGAAGTTATTGACATGGCATTAATAGATACATTACCGATGGTGATTAATACAAATTACCCAAACAAATGTACACAGTGACTGAGTAAATATGTATTCACAATGACTATAATGACTACAAGGATTTTTTGTGAGTACTTCGATGACCTCGATTCCTATAACAAGACATTTATTAAGAACTACTTAAAATTCCACCCTAATCTGTACCACAAGTGGTGACAAATAGCTCATTATAATTGTTTATTTTATTTATTATCTTAATAGACATAGTAATATTATTTAGTAGGTACATTCTGCGAAAAGACTCCGTGTGAAATAAGTACAAGATAAAAATGACACGGGTTTTTTTAATAACAGACAATTAAATGTTATCTAGTGACGTGTTAACCCCATCTCCGGGGTCAGTCGCGGCCTCCTAGTATATTATTGATGCCGCAGTGTCTCGCGCACAGTCACAACTTACACATATCAGCATGCACATCGCACTGCTCCTAGTAACCCTGAGTGCAGCCTCAGCCGCGCCTAACTCGTGGTCCTTGGTTCCACCGTTCAATAACTTCGTCAAAGAACAAGGTGATAATGTGGTATCATGGTACAACGACGCCACCAACATGAAGGACTCCGTTGAAAACTACGTCGAGGAACAGCAACACATGTTCAAGGACAAGTTTAAGGACTACGTCAACGATATCCAGGAGAACGGAAGACAGCTCGTGGACTCTACCTATAGTTCTAGGGAAACTTCCCTGCTGGATAACCCAGATATATTTCTATCAGTGCCGGGAATAATCACCAGAAACGGATACATTTGTGAGACACACACTGTCATTTCTCAAGGGTATGTTCTCAATGTGCATAGAATCCCTCGTTCAAGAAACCATTCAGATGTCTCCTCGAAGACAGTTCTCCTTCAACATGGTTTATTCGCAAGTTCTGCTGATTGGATTATAAACGGTCCTGGCAAAGGACTTGCCTACGTCCTAGCTGATGCGGGCTACGATGTTTGGATGACCAATATTAGAGGAAACAGGTACTCTAAAGATCATGTATGGTACAAGACGAATTCAGAAGAATATTGGGACTTCTCTTGGCACGAAGTCGCATTGTATGATGTGCCAGCAGTTATAGATTACATTATGGAAATTAAGGGCACCGATACAAAGATCAGTTACATTGGACACTCAATGGGAACTACTATTCTTTTCGCAATGTTGACTTTGAGGCCGGAATACAATAATATCCTGACGGCTGGATTTGCTCTAGCTCCTGAGGTGTTTCTAGCTGACATGAAGTCGCCGCTGAAGTCTATGGCACCAATTGTCAGTAACTTGGCATATATAGACTCACTGCAAGGTACTTACGAGTTCATCCCTAAGAACTCAGCGCTCGGCCAGATGTCAGGCACATGTAGCGGAGAGAACATGGATTCGTTGATATGCAAGAATGTTGTGTTCTACTTGTGTGGTTTTAATGAGAGGCAGTTCAACAAGACCTTACTGCCAGTATTCTTGTCACATCTGGGAACAGGAACATCTTGGAAGACTGCGGTACACTTCTCGCAAGAAATACTTTCAGGAAAATTCGCGCAGTTTGACTATGGATACTGGAAAAACTGGAGAGTTTACGGAACTAGCTCACCTCCTGACTATGACCTGAGTAAGGTAACACTTCCAATCAAGTTGTTCTGGTCTAAAAACGATTTGTTATCAAGTGAGAATGATGTTCGGGCACTTTATGACAAGTTGCCTGTGAAGCCAGATACGTTCCTGGTTCCCGATGAGAAGTTCAACCATTTGGACTATTTGTGGGCGATTGACGCTCCCAGACTATTAAATAATGAGATCCTAAGTTCACTGGAGGCGCATATGTCAGACTACTCATTTACTGCAAGATTTTGAAGAAGATACCGATTATGACTGGTTTAAAATTGCTGATAAAGGTTTGACATTTTAAAACCGAGTGTTTAAGCTTCTCAGCGTTTTTGAGACAGATTTTTCTGCTATTTGGACTCTTATATATTCTCATCTTGAGAGTTATAATGTATGTTGCAAGAAATTATTTAATCTGAAGAATCGAGAGTCGTCTAGAGAATATTGTTTTTACATTCTGTTTACCTTCTACCACATGTATTTCTATTCTAATTTCCTTCTACAAATAAAAGTAGAAACGAAGTAAACTCGAGGAGACCTCTAGTGAAGGTTACGCGTACCAAGGCGCAAGGGTACCGGCAGGAAGGCTAAAAACCGCTACAACTTCCGGCTATGCATTTAATACTGAGTATTGATAAGTCTGTGATATATTTAGATTAATTTGCGACTGTTTACAATGTGTTTCTTGGAATGCCTTGACCTGATTTGAATGGATAAGAATCGAGACTACTAGAGGTCAGGTCTATTTATTTGATAACTGTTAGTTGTAAGACAGTTGTGTCTATGAGGGAGTTGTGTAATAATTAAGAGTTATTAATAAATTATTTTTATTTTGTAATGTTTTGTTTCAATGAAATTTATTTTACCTGGTGGAAGAGAGAGTCGGCAGAGGAATACTCTGCCATGAAAAAGAGGGACTGAATATGATATTAGCCTAGACAACAACACATTTTGTTTAATTACCTAATTCTGAGAAGAAAGTTAACAATTCAAATAACGCATTAACGCTGTCCAAGGCATTACTTTGTGAAGCCGTCATTGTTAACCAAAAATAGATTTACCTATTGGAGAAGTAGTCAGGTGTGTAATGTATGTATTGTTTTTCCCTATTATGTATTGACTGCCTCGTTGGGCGAGTGGTCGCAAGTGCGACTGCCGAGCAAGGGGTCTCGGGTTCGATTCCCGGGTCTGGCAAAGTATTACTGGGTTTTTAATTCTCAGTAGAAGCACGGAGTCTGAATTGTGTCCGGTATATGGCAAGAGACTCACCAATAGGGAAAGTGGGTGTTACTTTATACAGTGGCATTAAGTACTGCCGTGCCGGCCATTAAGCCGCCGTAATGCCTCTGCCTACCCTTTCGGGGACAAAAGGCTTGATGTTATGTTTTTACTCAGTAAGAGTTTGACACTCTCTCTTGCCTCACTCAGGGTGGGAGAAAACATTGGCAATTTTTACCTCTCTTAAAAAAGACTTGTTAGTCTGATCTATTGAGAGAAGTGTGTCGGGTTGCAAAATACAAATGTAAAGATTTTGTTTTATTTATTTTTGTAATAGCGTAGTCTGACATTCTGTGCCAGATGTAGGGGATTTTTTTAAAGGGGGAAAAAATCATCCAATGACTTTTCCCGTCTGGGTGAGGCAGGAGGGATTGTCAGACTCTTACTGACTAAAAACCACCCGTTCCTACTCCTGCTCTTTGAACCGGAGCCCCGGAAACTTATTAAGTCCTTCACGGCTCCAGATGTAGGGGAATAGGTTCGTCGTTTTGATTATTTTTGAAGTTTTAAATCGCATCATCGCATGCGAAGTACGGTAAATTGAGGTGAATAGGGTTTGAGCGGCGAAAAGGGACAGACGAGGGGTGAATCGATACTAGTATGAAGAATTTCCTTATATCTGTTTACCCCTTTTCTGTCCATATTCACCTCTCGATCCCCATTACCCCATTTTACTAGGAGCAAGGAGTTTGGAATTGCACCCAGTATATGTCAATAGTCTCATACCCTATTACAATTAAAACATAAGTGTGAAAGATTTACTATGTTCATCTCTGTCTACAAACACGATGGTGTTGTTACATCGTCATAATTAAAGTTATCTTTGCGTTTTGCGCTCTAAACAATATGAACAGACTACATTTAAATACTACGCCTTAACTAAAGACGCTGAATTGCAAATAGTTATGTAATAAAACAATGTTAGAAGGCTATTATTGAAACACTGAATATCAGGTCAAAAGGTCAAAGACTATTTTTCCGTAAATATCAAATGACGTCAATAGTTATCAAGTTAAATGTTTACACGAGAAAAAATACTATTTTGCTGATAATTTTGTTAGGTGACTTTTGTTGATATAGGCGTAGATAATGAGTATAATTCCCGAGTTAGGAAGTTTTAGTTAGTAAAAACGTTGCCCCTCACTAGGATTTTCTCCTGTGTCGTGGGTGCGTTAACAAACATACAAGTTCACATACACATCACACACAGACCAGAAACAACAACTTGTGGATCACATAAAGAGTTGCTCCGTGCGGGAATCGAACAGCCACCGCACCAACCGTGCCGTCAAATTGAAATAGTTCGGAGTCTAGTATGTTTATTACGTTAACACCTGAATTATAATGAAGGAATGAAGATAAGTAGCAAAAAATACATTTCTTTATGTTAAATGAAACGTGAACTGCCATTACCTTTTAATTTATAGCTACCATTGTAATTGGTTCCGTTTTGCACCTTGATTGATCGGAAACCTCCCATTGTTAGTAAGGAAATAACTTCGAATTTGGGCTCGGCAGGTCCAAATTACAGGCCTCCGGGACCCTAAAATTACTCGCCACGTTAAATTTCTAGTAATTAATTACATTCAGGCCTAATTTGTTGGAAGGGCAAGTGGTTTTTCATCATTCTACACACTTGGCTGTTCAAAGGCTAATTCCGTAGCAGCGAGATGAAAATAAAAAAAAGTTTTTTTTTAATCTTTTTGTATAATTTGGTAATGAATGAGTTGAGGAAGACTTGGGTCCATTTTTATCGTTTATTTTAACGAACAGTTTTAATAATGTACGTTTAGGCTTTTGACTGTATGGTGATCTCCATCTATACCTATTTGGACCGAAGTTTTGTAAGGCCTGCAAATAGTTGTGTGTGTCATCATCATCAGCCTGTATTCGTCCACTGCTGGACATAGGCCTCTCCTATGGCACGCCACTGAGCTCGGTCTTCAGCTCTTCTCATCCAACCACTGCCAGCCACCCTGCAGATGTCGTCACTCCTCCTAGCTGAAGGGCTCCCTACACTGCGTTTGCCGAGACGCGGTCTCCACTCTAGAACACGTTTACCCCAACGGTTATCGGTTCTTCGACAAATGTGACCGGCCCACTGCCACTTCAGCTTACTGATCCTTTGGGCTATGTCGATAACTTTGGTTCTCTGTCGGATCACTTCGTTTCGGATTCGATCCTTCAAAGAGACTCCGAGCATAGCTCTCTCCATAGCTCGCTGCGCGACCTTAAATTGGTGGACCAGTCGCACTGTCAGTGTCCACGTCTCGGCTCCGTATGTCATTACTGGAAGGACGCACTCGTTAAAGACTTTTGTCTTCAGGCTTTGCGGTATCTGAGACGAGAAGACTTGATTAAGTTTTCTATATGTTGCCCAGCCAAGCTGTATCCTTCTACGGGCCTCCTTTTCGAAGCTGTTCCTACCAAACTGCAGGGTTTGTCCTAGGTAGATGTATTCCTGAACGACTTCGAGAGGCGACCCGTTGAGAACAATTGGCTCGGGAATGACATGTTCATTGAACATTATTGTGTGACTTATCATTTGTTATGTTTGTGTTTGCAAACAAGCAAGTGCGCTCACAAAGCAGCAGATTCGATGCAATAAAACACATCATTTGATTTTTTTATTTATTATTATAAGTGTACCAATAGCTTCTGTAACATAAGTAACAATAGGTATTAGGCTTATATAATTCCAATTATAAGTTAACCCACTTTACGATTGGGTACATTCCCTATTCAAAAATAAATTATTTCGACTTTTCAATACAATTAAATTTAAAAAAAATAGGTAATCATTACCTATTTTTTTAAAGTAATTTCAGTATTTTTCCAACAAATTTTTAAGAAATAAGTATGCTGTTTGACGCTAAAAAAACGTGACGTCACAATTCACAATCTCGTACAAAATTCATAGAAAACTGTCTAGGTATGGTTTTTGACATTTCGAAAAAAGTATTGAATTTGACTAGTTGTCATATTACCGTACTGCTAATGAAAATGTTATTATAGATATAAAACTAAAGATAATTTATTTTTTATTTTAGGCAGTAAAATACTTTTTTCTGCTATTTATTAATAACACATCAAATTTTAGTCAAATTTTAGTAGCTTCTGCTCATCCCCAGAGATGCGAACATCCATGAAGACTTCCACACGATAAATTATTAATAAACTTAGCAGCCTATCCTTGAGTTTGAAGGTCATCACTTGTTACAGTAATTAAACATGTAATCTATATTAATGGCACTTGTATCGATACCGGCGTCATACAAGCTTACACTCGGTTGTGCTCGGACGTAAACTGATGTTTTTTACACACTATGATGTTTTTTAGGGGAGAAAAATCAAAGGTCTGCCTCATTGGCCTAGTGGTCGTAAGTGCGACTGCCGGGCAAAGGGTCTCGGGTTCGATTCCCGAGTCGGGCAAAGTATTACTGGGTTTTTAAATATTCTCAGTAGTAGCACAGAGTTTGGAATTGTGCCCGGTATATGGCAATAAGTCCTATTACATACTCATAAAGGGGACTCATAAAGAGTGAAAAGTGGGTGTTACATTGTACAGTGGTATAATGTGCACCTTTGCCTACTCCTTCGGGAATAAAAGGCGTAATGTTATGTTAAAAATCGAATGACTCCTCCGCGAGTGACTGTCAGGACTCCTACTAACCAAAAATCATCCTGTTCTTATTCCTGTATGGCTATTCTGTAACTGGCAAAACTTTCGAAGTGAGCTCGATCGCATTCTCGCCCGTCATTGGTCGAGAGTTTTCTCACAACCAATGGCATGGCGGACCGCGTTCGAGTTCACTTCGATTTTCTAAATTGAAATTTACAAAACAGACTAGCTGCTTCGGTAATCCTTGCGGTTATTGGCAGCTCAACCGTGTTTAAAGTAATCAGATAGGAAATGGCAGTCAAGTTTATTTTATAACTTATGAAATTGATGTGTAATAGTGCTGTGTTGCTTTTTTTAATGTCGCCTTGTATTATGATTCGGCTCTGTGTCGTGGGTGCGTTATAAAAATATAAAATCACGTACATAATATAACACCCAGATTCTGAACAACAACTTGTGGTTCACATAAACGTTGTTCCGTGACATTGGTACTGCAATCAGTTGCTCTGCTACTACGCCCAACTTCATCACATCAAACTTCATTCGCATTATTCCTAAATAATATTTTTTTCGATAGTTCTGTTGAGCTTACGACTCTGATCGTAGAATGTAGCTGATTATAAATAGACAGATTTAACTCGTCGAGTACCGTCATTATAGATTGCGGTCACCGGTGACCGCAACCTATTGTTCTATAATTGTGTCTATAATGACGGTACTCGACGAGATCTATCTGCTGTCAGACTAATAAATGAACAGGTAACCGGATAACTGTATGCAGGTCGAATCTGCCCAACCGATCTTGAACTCGTAGGGTAGTCCAGTGCTTGATAGTAGAAGTTTTAGGCCAATAAGACGACCATGAAGCCAACATAATTGTTTAGCATTTTTTTTTTTATAAAATACAACACACAACGTGACGGTAGTATTTCCCCTGTGTCGTGAGGATGGCACTTCAGTCGATTACAGTGAAGTAGGTGATTCATATCCCGCGTCTTGTAAAGGAAATATCTGGAGTGTTAGAACAGTGATGTGGAGAAGGAAACATGTAACTTCTGTACTTTTTTGTTTACTATATGTGCCTACTGAGATAAAACTAGCAATAAGTCTTCTCTTTGCATTAATTTGTTTGTAAGTGCTTTTTCGATTCATTCGATTCGAACCAATACCATGTTCGCATGGTATTGGTTCGAATGATCAAAAGCCCGAACAATCTAAAACTGCCTACACGGCTTAAGATATGGGAAGGCAACTAGCTGCTAGCATCGTATTATATTTAGCTCTCCATGAAGTTGAAGACTCACGAAATAAATTCATCCATCTATCTGCAGGCTATATGTCATCAGTATATAATTACATAGATAACAAAACACTTGAATCGATGCACTCGATGCAGTCAGTACTTGTGATCACTGCTATTTAAATGTGTGCCACGCGATGACGTTACAGTCAACCATGGCGGTTGTAAAGTTATACGTGGCGCTCCTGAGTGTATTCGCAACCACCCTCGCATGTGACCTCACTCCAACGGCCGCAGAAACTGAACTCAAACTTCAAGCAGAAATATACATCAATGACACCAAACCAACGATTGACCCAAGGTACAGACAACTCTACCATGTAGCTCCTCCTGTCGGCTGGATGAACGACCCTAACGGATTCTCCTTCTTCAAAGACAACTATCACTTGTTTTACCAGTTTTACCCGTACAACACGTCGACAGGAAATATTCACTGGGGACATGTTGTTAGCAAAGATTTAGTGGAGTGGACACAGCTGCCAGTTGCGTTAGCGCCACAGACGGAACAGATCTTCTCAGGCAGTGCTATTGAAAACGAAGGCACTTTGGTACTCATATACACAGCTCACAAAGGTAAAGATCCAGACACCAATGAAACACAGTACCTAGCTTTCAGTAACGATGGTGTGATCTTTACCAAATATAAAAATAATCCTGTCATTTCATTTTCACCAAATTCTGCCAAAGATTTCCGAGATCCTAAAATCTGGAAACATGGCGACTATTGGTATGTTGTTCTGGGAAGCAGAACTGCAGACGACAGAGGGGAAGTTCTAGTGTACAGATCAGCGGACATGGGATATTGGGAGTTTCTAAGCGTCGTAGCATCATCTAATGGTGACCTGGGATATATGTGGGAATGCCCTGACTTCTTTGAGCTAAGTGGAAACTACGTTCTCCTTATGTCTCCGCAAGGTATGAACGCGTCGGAGGACAGGTACCAGAACCAGTTTCAGACTGGTTATATAATTGGAAGTTTTGACTACCAGACAGGTAAATTTGTAGAAAAGTATGCATTCCAAGAAATTGACTACGGCCATGATTTTTACGCAACCCAGACAATGGAGCGCAATAATAAGAGATATTTAATTGCGTGGATGGGATCGTGGAATGGCGATTTTCCTGAGCGTGAAGACGGTTGGGCAGGATCCATGACAATTATTAGAGAGTTGACATTAAATGGAGGTCGTATACTGATGAAACCTATTGACGCAATCACTAAACTACGAGAGTCAGTTGTGTATAACGGGTCTTTGGCACAAAATGAACATATAATTGGTTTAAACAAAACAGGAGAACTGCTTGTTTCGTTCGATTTAACGCAAGATATTAGTTTGGCCATCAGAGGGGTTATTGATGTTACAAATAATACCGACGTGATTGGTTTGAGATGGAATGCTACTGGTAATAAAGTGATCGTGGACAGGCAAGGCGTCATAAGGCAAGGAGAATGGCTACCAGTTTCATCAAAGTCTTTGAGAATATTCTTAGATGCTAGTTCCATAGAAGTGTTCTGTGGTGAAGGTGAAGTAGTGTTTAGTTCTAGAGCCTACCCTGCCGGTAACTGGCAGATCACGAATGAGGGTGCTCAATCAGTTGATGTGGTGGCGTATTCTTTGATAAGAAGTGTACCTGAATAATTCGGTATTATTAATCAAAATATAATTACTTTTATTTTTTATGTATTTATTTAATAAAATATATTTATGCAACAACTGTTTTATATTTCAAGTAATGAGATTATTTGTAGGACATACCTATATTTTAGCATTGATTTGATTTTCACCTAGACTTTCATAATTACATTACTTTCTCTCTCATGTCTCAAACTCATGATTGATTCTTTTTATTGTGTAAAGTAAATTGCCATTTCGTTGGTGAAGAATTCGAAACAAAATTTTCGAAAATGTGCGTCATGGTTATTGAGTTTGCATAATATTATAACAGGTGCATTCATTTTATCTTAAGATTATAGACCTATTCACAGACCGACCGCAACGCGACAAGTTTATCTAATCTAAATTTTAGCTGCGGTAGTTTCGCATACCTGGTTTAGTCGTGAGATATATTATAAAAACCAATTCATTGCTGATATTATCATCATGCCTCAAAACAAAACACTTGAAATATTTATCGAGATCTGAAACTACTATATAAGGAGATTACCACACGAGATGACTTATCTATAAACATGGTTCTTCTAAAGTACGTGGTGTTCCTTAGCTTCATCGCGGTTGTTCATCTAAAAACGATAAAAGAGAATCTTGTGATAAATGAAATAGAGGCTTACATAGAAGAAAAAAGGGCAGAAATCAACCCCCGGTACCGACTGCACTATCACGTGGCACCCCCTGTAGGATGGATGAACGATCCCAACGGCTTTTCATTTTACAAGGGCCAATTCCATCTCTTTTATCAGTTCTATCCATATGAGAGCCAATGGGGCCCTATGCATTGGGGCCATTCAGTAAGCCCAAATCTTGTGGACTGGAAGACACTCCCCACAGCTTTAGTGCCAGAAGAAGAAATGTGTTTTTCAGGCAGTGCTGTCGTTAAAGATGATGAAATGGTGTTAATGTATACAGGACGTACAACAACCGATGAGGAACCCTTCTATAATGAGACCCAGTACTTGGCCTTTAGTAATGACGGCATAGAGTTCCATAAGTATGAAGGTAACCCAGTTCTGCCTTACACACCTAACGGATCCCCAGATTTCCGAGACCCTAAAGTGTGGAAGCACGGCGAGCACTGGTATGTTGTGATTGGAAGCAAGACTGACGACGAAAGAGGCAGGGTGTTGCTTTACAGATCACCTGACCTAATTAGTTGGGAATTTTTAAGTGTTATAGGAGAATCCTCGGGAGACATGGGCTATATGTGGGAATGCCCAGATTTTTTCCAGCTTAAAGGGAAACATATTCTCTTGATGTCTCCCCAGGGTTTGGTTCCACAAGGTGACAGGTACAAGAATGTTCACCAAACAGGATATATAATCGGAAAGTTTAGTTACGAAACATTTGAATTCGTTCCTGAAATTAGTTTTCAAGAAATCGATTTTGGTCATGACTTCTACGCAGCTACTACTACTGAAAAAGATGGAAAAAGGTACTTAGTCGCGTGGTTTAATATGTGGGATGTTCCTCATCCAGAAGATGTTGATGGTTGGGCAGGAGCCATGACTATCATTAGAGAGCTGGAATTAGTGGGCAACCGTATTGTGATGAAACCAGTTGAAACAATAACCACCCTGCGAGAGGAGACTGTGTGGGACGGTAATCTTATGGAAAATGAATTTGTTCAGTTGGATAAGACAGGAGAACTTTTAATAACCGGAGACTTAAGTCAGAATATTGAGTTGTTGATTAAAGGAAGCAATGGTGGTGGTCAAGTAGTGCTGCAGTGGGACCCTCAAGTCCGTAAAGTCGTGGTAGACAGAGAAGGTGATATCAGACAAGTTGAATGGCTTCCTCTGGGTTCTGAACAATGGAGGATATTTTTGGATGCTTCTTCCTTAGAGCTGTTCTGTGGTGAAGGAGAGGTGGTGTTCAGTACCAGGGTTTATCCTGATGGTGGCTGGCAGGTAACGAATCTGAGCCCCCAACCCCTCGACACGATTGCTTATACATTGAGAAGAAGTGTTCCTGAATAGTTTTTAAGGTTTTATTTCTCTGACATGTGATTGTGGATAGTGCCTCAGATTTTGGTAAATATATTTTGTAATAACATATAAATAAATTATCATAATTTATATGAAATTGAAGTATTATTTACATTATTTACTCTTACTTGTACACGTTCAAAATAAAACCAGAAAAGCTTATTATTTCTTCCTTGGAAAGAAAGTAAAAGCATTTGTTTGACAAGATAAATGACCAATAAGTGCAATACACTACAGTGTAGTTCAACAAATCTTTCAAATCAATAGCACTGAACAAATTAAATGACATTGTAGCCAGCCATGTAAATTTTCAGAAAAAATCATTAGCATATTGCTATACATAATTTTTATTCATAATAATTAGTACCGATCCGTTTGTGAATTAGAATACCTTAGTGTTTTTTTTTTGTGGAACAAACCGGTAAAAGAGCTGACGAATTACCTGGTGGTAAGCGATCGGCGCCACCCATGGACACCCGAACCACAAGAGGTGACACAGAGAGACAAATGCGTTACTGGCCTTTTGTGGATTAGGAATTTAAGGACTGTTGGGGATTTGGGGTTAGGGGAGATTGAGAAGGGGGGTAATTGGGCCTCCGGTAACCTCACTCACACGACGAAACAGAACGCAGGCGTTATTTCACGTATGTCTTCTGCTCGGCCGTGGTATTACTGTGGGCGGCTCATCTGGGATATTTTACGTGACGAACATAATGTATATAATAATAATAATAATAATATTCTTTATTGTACACCACATAAACACATAGGACAAACAACAATTAATATAGTGCACAATGGGCGGTCTTATCGCACAAGGCGATCTCTTACAGACAACCTTTGGATGGAGCTGTAATAGGAGTCAGATATGGGTCGTCAAGTGTACAAGTTAAAGACTTTAAAAAGAAAATAATAATAATATAATAATAATAATACCGTGTAAACCATAATATGTATAAATAAAATATATATATATGTATATATATATATAAATAAATATATGCATGTATATGCCTACATAAAAGTTATAAAAATAAGAATAAAATAGAACATAATACATAATGGTGTGTAAGTGTGCGTGTGTGCGTTTATGCATGTATGTGTACGTGTGTTACCATGTTAAGTAGGAGACAAGAAAAAACTATAAAGTTAGATAAAATTCTTTAACTAGTTTTTTAAATTGTGATATGGTTTGAGCTCGCCTCACTGTAATCGGTAGAGCATTCCACAACCGTGCTGCTTGTACTGTATAGGACTTGTCGAAAAATGTAGTGGAATGCAAACAGACGTTTAATTTCAAGCTCTCCGATGATCTTAAAAACTTCGTATGTGAGTTGCCAAGGTACGTAAAACGCTCTTTTAGATAGAAAGGGGTAGTGGGATTAAAGAGTACATTGTATAGAAGTGAAAGAATGTGAGTATTCCGGCGAAGGCGAATAGGCAGCCATTTGAGCTTATTGCGGAACTCGGAGACATGGTCATATTTGCGCAATCCAAATATAAACCTGATAGAAAGATTTTGAAGGCGCTCAAGCTTGTCTAATTGTTCTTGGGTGAGATCAAGATAGCTGGCATCAGCATAGTCGAGGATTGGTAGAAGTAGGGATTGTGCTAATGCAATTTTAGTAGTAGTGGGCAAGAAATTTCGAAGACGCCTCAAGGATCCCGCCGAGGCAAACATTCTGCGACTGACCTCCTGCATCTGTTTAGACCAGGAGAGAGTACTGTCAATGTAAATCCCCAAGTTCTTGACTTCGAAGGAAAAAGGAATTTTTGTGTTAAGCAGAGATACTTGGGGAAGAGTAGACCAGTCAATTCTGGAGACAGCCCTTGAACTGCCGACAACCGTCACCTGTGTTTTGGATGGGTTAATACGCAGGCCATATTTCATGCTCCAATCGCTAATTCGTGCCATGTCGCGGTTAACTAGAGCAACAGCATCTGGTAATTCATTAAGTGAAGCTTGCGTATAGATCTGCAGATCATCGGCATAGAGGTGGAAGGAAGAAGAGAGTTCTTTAGAGATAGAGTTGATAAATAGGGCGAAGAGTAAAGGGGATAGAACACCACCCTGTGGCACACCAGCAGCAGTACAACACCAAGAAGAATAACGATCGTCAGAGTGAATACGCTGCCGGCGACCAAATAGGTAACTACGAAACCAGTCAATAGCCGATGCTGATACGTTAAGAGAGCTGAGCACGCCAAGCAAAACGTCGAAGTCAACTGTATTAAAAGCGTTACTGAAATCGAGTAGGATAAGTAACGTCAACTTCCCCGACTCCATGCCCGACCTAATGTCATCAGTAATATTTACGAGCGCCGTGGTAGTGCTGTGCCCCGGGCGAAAACCAGATTGGTAGGGACTAAGGAGGCTGTGCCTGGTAAGAAAAGAACTAAATTGATGATGGACAAGTTTTTCTAGGATTTTAGACAGGAATGGAAGAATGGAAATAGGACGAAAATCGGAAAAAGAAGCAGGATTTGGTTTCTTGGGAAGAGGTATTACATGAGCTTCTTTCCAAATTTGAGGGAAGGCTCTGTTGGAGACCGAGGAATTTAGGACAAAAAGGATGACAGGGGTAATTTGATCGAGGATAGGAATAATCATTTTGCGGCTAACACAGTCACCACCAACGGCATTCGATGTCGTCGACAGAATGCTCCTCCTAACGTCACATGCGGCAAATTGACTGAAGTCGAAAGGAGAAAAATTTGGTAACGGAAGTAGAGAGAGAGAGTTTAAAGTAGCAGTTTTAGTGGCCATATCTAAAGTGGGTGTGGAGGAGAAGTGAGAATTAAGAAAATTTAAATCTAGATCTTTAGGCAAAGAGTTTTGGGTATGTTTTCCAATACCTAATGATTTAAGGAACTTCCACACTTTAGCCGGATCACTATTTTCAACAGATTTATGAATGTGTTGGCGTTTGGCATTCCTGCACACCTTGTTGCACTGGTTTCTAATTCTAATATATTTTACCCTGTTGCTGTCACTAGGCTGGATTTTAAATTTAAATTTTGCAGCAGCTTTTTTAGCCATCAGGTTTTTTATCTCCTCAGTTAACCAAGGTGCTGGGAGATGCTTAACCCTGACGGCCCTGACCGGTGCGTGCTTGTCATACAGGTTTATAAGGGTAGCAGTCAAGATTTCAGCCTGTTCGTCAACCGACGCTGATTCAACCAAAGGCGTCCAATCAATGTTAGCAGCATCCTCCCGAAGGCGCTCGATATTCATGCCCTCAAAATTGCGAAGAAAGAGAATTTTCGACTTATGCTTGGGTGGACGAATATTAAAGGAAGTATAGATGAGGTCGTGGTATGAGAAGGCATCAGCTGGACATTGTCCATGTTTGACAACGTGGTTCGGAGAAGAAACTAAAATTAGGTCAAGAAGAGAAGGAACTGAATTGGGAAAGTGGTGAGTAGCATTGAGGTCAAGGATAGAAAGATTAGTAGACTTAATTAACCTGGAAAAGGAAGCGGAACGAGTGTCATTTTTCAACAAACATGTATTGAAATCCCCCATAATGATACAGTGATCATATGAGGGTACGAATGTTTCTAGGAGCAGTTCGAAAGAGGAGAAGAAATTGATACGGAGAGAAGGACAGTAATACACGCCAAGAAGAATTTTAGAGCGGTGCAACTCGACCTCCAGAAAGAGGTGTTCACCAGCACTCTGAGGAGGAGGCTGCGCGGACATATTCAGGACAGTAAAGGAAATATTGTTGCGGAGATATATGGCCACACCACCCCCACCCCCAACCGCACGGTCATTCCTTATCAAATTAAACCCCGGAAGAGAGTAAGAGGAAGAAGGGAGACAAGGTTTCAGCCACGATTCTGACACCAGAATAGCATGAATATACGCACAATCGAAAATAGCCAGCATATCAGTGTAATGAGCCGGAATGCTCTGGGCGTTAATGTGGACCACATTGAAGTTCGGAGATGCATCAGAAAACACAGACGCGAGTGTTTCATTTAAGGGCGGCAAACTACAGATACTTTCATCATCTGAAGTTAATGATAAATACGTATCTGATTCATCGCTGATACTAGAGTTAAACATGGCTGTGTAATTTATGTATGTACCTAATAATGTATTATGAAGTAATATATGTATATTATATATATAGATATGTATATATATAAGTAATAATAATAATAGAATAAAACAAGTTCAAAATATAAAATAATAAATATGTCTAAGGTTGGTGTTCAATTTCTGCACTCCACCTGCCAGTTAGCCTGAGAGAAAAAAATAAATAAAAAACAAACAACAAAAACAAAAATGTCACGTCATCACAGCATTACGACATCACAAAAATTAGATAACAAAACAGTAGAAAAGCAAAATAAAATAAAAAATAAAAATACAAATAAATAAATATAAACAAAAACAACATGAAATGTAAAGACTAATAAAAATAAGTACATAATATAATGAGTTACAAAAAAAATTATTAACATTACATGTTGCGAGCGCATGCAGTACGTGGAACGAAACGCTGCTAAGTACCAATGACAGTTGTATGAAAATCTTTATAAACATCTATGAAATCTATGGACCACAATGAATCAAAGAGTAGAAAGAAAAAAAAAAAAATTATGACCAAAAATAAGTTTATAATCTGCATGACAGTGACGGATGACATGAGTGACAATGATAGTAGTATGAGTTACGAAAACAAAAATTACATGTAAATAAATAAAATAATACTACTACCGTATCTGAGTACAAGTTAGAAAATACATAAAGTTAAAGTGAAGGTGATACGACAATTAATACCATTTAATAAAAGCAACTAATTTACCCAGACTACCTACAGAAAATCAAGAAAATGTAACTAAAGAAAATACTTATTTTCGAGATGCTGCACGCCTTGCCTTGGGCACCACCTTTCCAGTAGCTGCAACGACAGGTTCAGCAGCACCTTGCTCAGGTTGTTGGAGAACGATAGTATCGAGGTCGTTCCTGGAAGTCAATCGATGTCGAACACCTTTTGAGTCAAGGACAAATATAATGCCTTCCCTCGTCCAGCACTGACTGACGCCGAACTTCTCCCGAGCCTCCATAAAGACGCTGTGTCGGGTCTTTGTCAAGAACTCCGAGATTGTAACACCCGAGCCCTTGCACTTTGTTTTGCCACGCCAGATGTTATCGCGGAGAGCCACATCATGCAGCTTGAGCAAGATGGGTCGAGCCTTTTGTGAGGTTCGCCCCATACGGTGGCACCGCTTGACGTCTGTTGGTTTTATATCAAGCTTAAGGCGGTCCTTGACAACTTTTACCACCACTTGCTTAGTATCTTCCTCCTTTGCATCTGACTCAGGCACACCATGCAGAAGAAGTATTTTACGCCGGCTGCGCATCTGCATATCGTCCATACTCTGCACCATGAAGCTCACTTGCTGTTGGAATACACAGAGAAACTGCATAATAAAGCTCCGGAACGCTGTGAACTCTGCTGAGAGCACTGGTGTGGCTTCATTTGCTGCGCCTGCGTTATCTCTCTGCTGCCGCTCGAAGTCAGCCATGCGTTTTTTAAACATGCTGGTCATCTCAGACACTAGACGTGGGACCTCTTCCATGATATAACCAAGTGCAAGTTATGTATAGGGTTAAGTGACATATAATGCTTCTGTAACTGGTTGAAAACACTTGGCAGGCAGGTGGCACTGATTACTATTTAATTCAACACATCAAAACAATACAAATATAAGTGTAATTATTTTAAAATAATTTATAAACCAGAGGTTCGCAATTTTAATGTTTACTTGTTGACTACCCGAATTTATAGGGTAATAGGTACCTACATGAATAATTTGGGTAAGTATCTTTATATCGTATTTACTAGTTTTTCCCGAGGTGAAGAGGTGAAATGTGATTGCGGAAACAAAAATAAAACGAAATAAGATGGATATTATCTAAGACAATGTTTTACAAGATAACTGAGTTTAATAAACATTGAATGGCCTACTGACACATTGCTGTGTGTAACGTAACATTACGCTTTTTGTCTCCTAAAGGGATCAGCAGAGAAGTGCCATGATAATTTTGTAACATAAGATAAAGCTCTCCCACTGAACACTATTTCGGAATACAAGCCGAGAATTTCGAAAAAACAAAAATTTGGTATCATATATTACCGAACCTTACATTTAGATTAGATTACCGAACTCAAAACTTAGTGAATCATGGCTTTTTTTTTGACGGGGGAAATCTATCAATGAATTTTCCCGCCCGGGTGAGGTGAGAGGGAGTGTCAGACTCTTACTGACTAAAAACCATGGGAACGTTGAGCCCTTCGTGGCTCCGTATCGGTATCAGCCCTATTGGGCCCCATCAGTGGTGGTCAGACGGCTCCATGAGCGCGCGCGGAACGTGACGCGCCGTACGCTCGGGTCTGGTTCTGGTCGGACGGCGAGTTACCCGTGGTCGTCGTCCGCAGGCCCGTGCAGTGAATCATGGCTAAGTACTTGATTTAGTTAGAATATAATATTGACAGTTTAATTGTGTCATATGGTGAACTAATTAATTTCTACTAAACTTTTTATGTTAGGATCGTAGTTTCTGCTTACCCCCGTGGGTGAGGCGTACCTACATAAGTCCGTATATCTATTCATTATTCATGGAAGAGTATCACTCTTCTTTATAGGTGGTTATCTCAGTTTTATCTATAAGAGTGTCTACATTTTAGGCAACAATTCTTATCAGTCCTCGAATTTTCAGGGACTTTTTATCATCTCAAGTCAGTTACAGCATCCGACGATAATGATGTGATAAAGTATATGAATTTTAATATTAAATAAGTATATTATCATGTTTATCCTACCAAAATTATATATGTCTTCCCGTCGAAACGGCTGAAGAAATCGGGATGAAATTTGGAACAGGTTAGGTTATGTAGATTGTGGTCGGGAATAATAGATAGGCTACTTTTGTTCCCACGGGATTTCGGGCGAAGCTGCTGGCAGAAGCTAGTCTAAGGCTATCTATCTCGTAAGTCAAGTAGCCGCGTGGTTAGTAAGTAAAATACACACGAATTTTCTCTCTGTTACAAAATGAATAAAGTTGAAATTAAGATGAATGATGAACTACAACAAATTCTAACAAAATATTGTTACGAAACCAATAAAAACATAGAGTTATTGGAAACCGATGCGATACATTCGGGAATATATTTGAACAAGATAAACGCGTTGTCATTCCGCTAGCTGTTCAAAATGTAACATATAACAGATGTTACAACTAGATAGTTGGAATAGTTCGTATGCGGACGAATGGATACATCACAAAAAGTAGATGAGTTTTAAGTGCGTTGCCGGCCTTTTGGGAATTTGGAAATAGGGATTTTGGAGGACGGATGAGGATGGGGCCTCAAATTCCAAATTAATTGGATTAATATACTTTGAACCAAACCGACCCACATCGCAGAGAGCAAGTAAGAATAGGCAGAGTACTAACAATTCACTCAATTTTTAAAATGCTTGTTAGTAGTATTAGTAGTTAGTAGTACTATAGTAGATGTTAAATGTAAGCACAAGAGTGAGTTGAGTGCCCAGTGAAGGCTCAACTGTGAATCGAGTTTTGTATGTAGACGTATGATGTAATCAGTCACGTAGGCTTCGGAAAAAAAGGAAATAATGAAAATAAAAGCAAACGGTTTCAGAACAATTCTATAAGATGATGCAATCGCTTGTTCAGGATATAATAATAATGTCAATGTCCATTATTTCTAGGTTTTCGTCAATATAAAAAAGTAAACAAATCCATCAAACAATAAACTTACACAATTTTACAAACTCGATCGCTAATCGTACAACAAGTAAAATAAAACAATGGAATCTATAATTATTCTGGTTGGAATCTCTTCAACGTATACGCCACCACGTGCAGAGATTGTGGGCCTCTGTTTATCACCCGCCAGTCACCATTAGGGTACATCCTTGAACTGAACACTAGTTCTCCTTCACCACAAAATACTTCGAAAGAACTTGCGTCCAGGAAGATCCTCCAAGTTACGGTGTCAAGTGGCTCCCATGTCCCTTGGCGGACATCTCCAGCTCTGTCCACTATGACCTTACCATCTTCCACGCTCCACCGCAAAGAAGTCTTATCCCCACCATTATTTCCAACAAATTCCAACTCAATATTCTCACTCAAGTCAATGTTCACAATGATTTCTCCAGCCTTCTCAAATTCTATGGTAGCATTATGGTGAAACTCTCCTTCTATGATAGTTTCCAGTCTTAGTTTGGTTATAGCTTCAACAGGTTTCATTAGGATTCTACTCCCAACGAGGTCCAACTCTCTGATCAGAGTCATAGCTCCTACCCAGCCATCAACATCCTCAGGATGCAAAGACTCCCACATACCGAACCATGCCACTAGATATCTTCTCCCATTATTTTCCGTGGTTTGTGTAGTATAAAAGTCATGGCCGTAATCTAATTCTTGGAAGTTAATTTCGGGTTTGAATTGACATGTGTCGTAACTAAAACTCCCAATAAGATATCCAGTTTGATATGTATTCTTGAATCTGTCTCCGCGACCAACCATACCTTGTGGGGATATCAAAAGAACGTACTTGCCATTAAGTTCGAAGAAATCTGGACACTCCCACATGTAGCCCAAAGCACCACTTGATTCCGCTAGAATACTTTTGAATTCCCAACTGAGTAAGTTTTTAGATCTGTACAAGAGAACTGATCCTCGGTGATCAGCAGTTTTACTACCAAGGACTACATACCAGAAATTTCCATTCTTCCAAATTTTAGGATCTCTAAAGTCTTGAGTGCCTGTAGGTGGCAATATCACAACAGGATTACCTTTGTACTTGTGGAAGTCTATACCATCAATACTGAATGCCATATACTGTGATTCGTTGTAGAATGGTGCGTCATCAGTCGCTTGGTGAGCTGTGTACAGGAGCACCATGATGCCATCGTTGTCGATGGCGCTGCCAGAGAAACATTGTTCGTTGCCAGGGCGCAGTGCTGTCGGAAGTGTATGCCAGTCCACTAGATTGGGGCTCGAGACGTGACCCCAGTGCATGGGTCCCCACTGCGTGTCGTAGGGGTAGAACTGATAGAACAGGTGGTATTCTCCTTTGTAGAACACGAAACCATTCGGTCCGTTCATCCAGCCCACAGGTGGCGTGATGTGGTAATGCAGCTTGTACCTTGGGTTCACAGTAGGGATGGTTTCTTCAATGTAGATTTCTAACTCTGCCTTTTCAAGTATTTCTTTCAGTTGATCGAGCTGTACAGAACCGAAGCACATCAGTATGATGTACGTACTTATGTGCATTTTTTAATATTCAACCGCTTGTGGTGTTGTGTTCTGCTTGCCGACAATGACTTACTGCACGATAATAGGAGGTAACGTTAATTCTATTTCGTATTATTTACTATTGTTTTCTTTTGAATGGCAACGTCACGTTATTGAATTAGCTATTTTTATAGGTTTGTTGATATTGCAGTAAGTTGTATCATCGTCCGATCTAGGGCTATTCGTGACGAGGACACGGAAAGACGCAGTGTATACAACCATTGTACGTGAACTACTCGCAGCGACCCGATTTGTCACGGTAAAAGATTTAAGTCTGTTGTGGAAAAAAATAAAGTGAAAATTAAACAATAAGGTAGATTGAGGGCTAGTTGTAACAATAAGGGCTGGATAAATCCTTTTGTCCATTAATATTACGTGGGGTCTGGTTGATCCCCAAGTAAAACGAGGACCTTTGAGTACCATGTGACCTCTTCCATATTTATAAGTTGTAAACAAATTATAGCGACGATGTTAGTTTTGCTTTGATTCATTAAGGTGTGGTTTTTGTATCGCGACTCTTTAACCAGTGATGTGTGGCCAAGTAATATAAACGAACTATGTATATTTTATGGAAGAATATAGTTATTGCTTACTTTATTACTATTAAGAAACGTGTTAATGTAATGTATTGGTGTTAGTTGTCTTACAAAATAAGACTTAAATAATCTTTCGTATCATATTACACATTATCACGCGGACAAAAGTACCACGAAGTTCGGAATATTTGAAATGAAAAATAACAATTGAAAGGACGTTTCGATTAGCGATGATATAACTGCAATCACCAAGCTGTCTGTGAAGCGTGGAGATTATAGTAACCCATCGTTTGACAGCGGACATCTACCACCTCACGAGGGTAATAAAATTTTGGAGACTCTGTGGTACCAGCGCTTGTATTAAATAACAAATACAAGTCGCCGCAGTGGAACCGCACTTTAAGTATCTGTGAAGTACTTACCTATTCGTATGTATATGTAAATAGGTACGAACTATTCAAGAGCGTGTGTTTCCATAATGATTTTGTTTTCTTATGTAAAATTGACTTTGACTTATGGTAGGTAGGTCCTATATGAAATGTTGCCCTACAATTTGCATTTCACCCTAGGGGCATGAAATAATTTTCACACAAATACGTATGTATGTATACAGTTTGTCTAACCCCTGATATAGAGGGTGTTTGAGAGAGAGTGTCTAACCCTCGATGAAAAAGGTATTTTAAACTGTCAAACACCAAGCGGTCACCGGTGACCGCAACCTATTCTATAATTGTGTCTATAATGACGGTGCTCGACGAGTTAAGGAGTGTAAAACAAAATATGGTGGTCGTGGTGGCCCGGAGGTTTAAGACGCCCGCTTCTCATGCATGAGGGTGCGAGTACGAAACCTATCAACGGCAAGTACCAATGTGACTTTTTCCGAGTTATATATACTTTCTAAGATTATCTAGACACCACTGACAAACAGTGAAGGAAAACATCGTGAGGAAACCTGGGCTTATAATTTCTAATTATAAGTTTGTAATCGCCAACCCGCATTGAGCAAGCGTGGTGATTAATGCTCAAACCTTCTCCGTGTGAGAAGAGGCTTTGCTCAGCAGTGGGCATTTATAGGCTGTTGATGATGATGATGATGATGATGATGATGATGATGACATGGTCACTGCTATTTTATGTATGTGATGTATGTATGTCGTATTTATGTTAAATTCTAATACTAAAACTACGACGAGCTACCAATAGATGAGCGTCCTCTAAACTGATGATGATCTGACAGTAATCTATAAACAGCCTACCTAAGGTGGCCACTTAGACATTTATGAAAACCGCCTATTTCTAGAGGAGATTTTTGGTCAAAGGCGGTCATTTTGCAAATAAAAATAAACACATACCCCATAATATTTACTCTTTTTTCTAGACTCCGTATGTACAAATAAAATTCCAAGTATGGTCGTATAGAAGATAAATTTTGCACACACGATCATGTGTGTAAAATTATGTATTTTGGAAAATTCTGAAAAAAAGAACCACATCAGAGGATTTATAAGGGCGTTCAGGATTTGAAGATTTAGACGGGGGGAAGATTGAGTTTCGATTAGTTAAATAATAGGGTGGGGTGTATTATTACTCGTTATTCTACTCGTTGCGCTGTATCATAATACCTCTATTTTGTTATACGATGAGTAAATTTTACATCCATCCTTACCTTTTTGGATAATAGAATGTGTATTAAAATACAATATTTGTATCAATCTTTATTAGTAACTGCATGGAGTCTGAGTATATATTCATTCGGTTTCAGTTAAAGGTTAAAATAAAAAACCAACATACCTTAACCAAATTTCCTATATTTTCGCAAGAACAATAAACATATTGTATAATTCGACTGCGCATATAAGTGTTACAGCCTCATAAATTTCGAAACAATAAAAAATAGCAAGAATATGGTTTTCCTAAAGGCATTTTGATTTTGAAGCTAAAGAATCAGAAATGCATTTCGTAATTTTTTCGATTGGTAAGAATATTATACATATTATGTTTAACCGACTTCAAAAAAGAAGGAGGTTCGCAATTTGTTAATTAGTAAAGTCGCGAGTTTAACTTCCATGCTTGCTCATTAATTATACTCTTTTGATTTGCAACATAATCCAGTGGCAGTGTTTTATTGCATATGCAATTCTTAATTCTTAATTCTAAGTAAGATTGGTGGAGCGGGCGTAAGAGCGACTGCAGAGCAAGGATCTTTCCGGATAATGAATTTGTATCTAGTATGATCCTTTTATACGGGATTTATAACGTAACTCCAGAAGAAAGAAGTAATAAGATATTCAATATATACTTTTATTTTACAGTTACCATTGTATTAACTATCAGCGTTTGGCAATCAGAGAGCAATAGAGTAAGTATTAGTCGCGTATTTATTTTATTTATTGTATGCAGGAGAGCTTCGTCATGAATGGGACGGCTCGAATACGATCTCCCGGAAACCTTACGTCAATTACACAATGCTTAAGTTTAAGCTTAAGAGATTGAGTGAGTGAGACTACCCACACGTAGTCTCAACTAATGTGTGTGTGGTTGAGTTGGAGTGAATGGGATGGCATCCCACCCAAAAGCCTCCAAACTAAAACTCCTCTGATCTTGCTTCTGGGTGTCCATGGGCAACCCTGATTAGACGAGCTAGATTAGACAATAAAATAAACATTAATTTATGAGGTAATGAAACTTAATAATATTATGAAAAAATGTATTGTCGTACCAGGCCGTGATAGTCCATTCTAAAATTATGAGCTATCTTCACATAAGGCAGGATTGTGAATAATATATGTGGTTAGAAGGCGGCTGAAAATCGTAGTTTGAAGGTTTCAGGATCATACAGCGCATTGCTGCACAGGTTCTATTAAATGTGTAGGTAGTCCCTTACTCGGCTCCTATGACATCTACTGGAAAAGAGTGAACCAGAAAATTGTTCTCAAATTCGAAACCCTTGATATTTAAGGGCCGAAACACATAACCACGTTGCGTCGCCGCAACCGCCGGCGTTGCGGCGTCGTGAAAATGAGCGGTTTGTTGTCGTTCGGTAGGGTAACCAGTTCGTTGTGATTTTTTATTGTGGATAGACGTGTCTTTGCCATGGACCATCGTGAAAAATTTATTGCTTATTTGTTACTTTAACAAAACGCTCTTTTTCACGACGCCGAAACGCCGCAACGCACCGCAACGCAAACTGACGATTTTAGCGCTGCGGCGACGCAACGCGGTTGTGTTTCGGCCTTAAGAAATACGTTTCATCTTGATGGTTTTGACTATACTAGGTACACAAACACATTTTACAATTTCGCTAGTGTTTTGTTTCTTGTATTGGTATCGTGAAACTAACAACAAAAATAAAGATAAGTAGATTTTTTGTATTTGTGATATTTTGTCAAGAGCCTCGTATGACAACGTTTGTAACCAAGTATGTGGTATCAATAAAAGTGTAGAACGTAGTACCGTCTTATGTCGATCCATGTCATATGTTCACATTCACTCAAATTTGGTTTAACTTAGTAAAGCCTGACTATTCTGTAAGATGTCAATTTGAACTCTCGAACTGAGTTCCATCGCATTTTCGCCCGTCATTGGTGGAGATTATTCTCACGACCAATGACATGGCGGACCACGCTCGAGTCCACTTCGATCTTTCGAATTGAAAATTACAGAATAGCCCCGCAAGCACAGAGGAAGTGGCATATTTAGTCTAACAATAGATACTGCCCTTGTACTAGATTAATATATTTTATCATTGAGCTATTATATCAGACTATGATGACTGTATACAGTCATACCAAATGACTATACAGCCAGTCATCGTACGCCTCTTGATACTTGCGACAGTAAACTGCGAGCCTATGAACTTGAAAGAAAACTCCTCGAAAGACGATGTTCCTATACCACGCCTAGCAACAGATTGCAGTTTAAAAAGACCAGGTTTATCAGAAAACGCTGCAGCTCGATCTCTGTTTGTGTAGTTCTTTAGTCGACTTCAAAAGAAAGAGTAGACGTACAGTAAGAGTAGTGGCAAATATATTATTCTCTGCCTACAACTTCAAGAAATGACAATACTTATTTGTGGTTCCAGAATTGTTACAATGCGAAGACTTGCATGCACAGCGGAATAGAAAGATGCGGCGTGGAAGAAGATGGACGACTAAGAAAATTTTTGGATTTATGTGATATCCATGAGTTTAACTGTCTCCAAAATACTTGTAAGTTTGTTCGTTGTCTGTGTAGTTATTTTATTTGTCAAAAAAAAAAAATAACATAACCTACATGGTTCAGTAAAAAAAATAATCAATAATGGCAACTGCAAGGAGTATCTGGTTTGAAATTTATCGTAGTAGCACAGAGTCTAAAAACTATCCCGTTCCAACTCAATCTTAACTCTCACTCCAAATCTTAACGCGGAGAACCTAACGGGTAACCGGGGATCCGACTCGACGTGCAGGAGAAGGAACGGGGTGGTTTTTAGTCAGTAAGAGTCTGACACTCCCTCCCGCCTCACCCAGGCGGGAGCAGTCATTCGATGATTTTCCCCCATTAAAAAAAAAAATCCCGTTCCAACTCTTCTTTAGTGCCGGGGCCAAGATAGTAGCGTGGTAGTAGCATAGAGTGTGGAATTGTGCCAGTCTATGCAATAGGTTACAAATTTCGGTGACGGCGACTCTTTATAGTTGTCTCCTGTTGTCAGTCACTTTTAAATGGGATTCATTATTTTAACTGGTGACATTTGGTGTTACATAATTATGTGCACCTTAGTCAAACTATTTGGAGAATAACAGATGTTGCCATTAGGCGTCTTTCTTTGTGATTCTACGATGGCAGAAATACTTTCCATCCGTACATGAGCGGCTGAAGAGGACATGGTTGTAGCTGGGATCACTGTGTCGCCCAATTTTTTACGGCAACTTTAAAAGTAAATTGTTTTCATTAAAACTTGTTGATTCACCATGGTGCCAATGTTCGACAGCGGAGTTGCAATACGAGTAGTCCGTCCATCACTTTATCTGGGAGTGTGATCTCTGGCAATATGAACGTAACACTATGTTAAATAATTTATTGTTTCGTCAGGTGTAGCTTATTATACGGATCTTGTGGAATCTAGAATACATAGATTTTGCCATACCTATTATTGGAAGCAAGTATAATAGCTCACACATAGGACTCACTTAGTTTTTACTCAAATTTCCGTGGTGCTTTTGCGATTGGGCTTCTCCCAGTGGTACAGTCTCTTTTAGGCTTAATTCATTCTGTTTCCTGCAGTAATTCACAAGGTTTTTTTTCTCCTTTTATAATATCTTCTGATTCACTTCGTTGCGCCATTTCATTGCGTCACAGTTATTTATGTCCCTGGGATGCGCCGAACTTCAGTATTACGGTGTTTTTACGGTTGTATCTACTGTAGATCCTGGCTTACAGGAGTTGCAGCGGTTTTGGGAGGCTGTGGTGGGCTTATCCAAAACTAAATATCTTATATACTAGGTAAAGACCGACTGAGTAAAATTCATTCATTACAATAATTAAGTTGTCTAATACTTTTTTTATTAATTAAGACATCACATTAATAATAATCTAACAAAAAACGCCCTTCCTCTCTCCTACCAATTTTAAATGTTGCTGTGCCCGACTGGGTCCATAATTGTTACCTACTATTTGTATTTTTCTAACCACCTGTATGTGTACATTATGGATGCAATAAATATTTGATTACTTTGATTACT